TGCACGATAGAATCGTCACAAGCTTCGAACGCATCGATCACATCGGGCGGGGTAAAGATTTCAATGCGAGGTACGTAGATATGTGAGGAGACTTCAACGCAAGGTAAGCAAGTACTCCATCATGAATATAATATATACACACTGTTAAATTTTTATATAATGTCGAATTATATTCAATTTGAGTTATTTTTAATCATATCTGTAGGTCATCACTATTCGTACCCAATATGTCATTAATTTGACTAAAACAATGGAGTTAAATAATTTAACTCAAGAAAATGTATTATTTGATTAAAATTTAATTTATTATTTATTAGGTGCATACGTTATTATATATTAATATATACGTTAATAAATTAAATTTGAATCAAATTTAATACATTCTTTTGAGTTAAATATATGGATGATATTTATTAAAACTAACCACAGAAATAAATTGATTTACACTTTGACACAAATGCAAGTTAAAAAAGAGTTTGGGTTACCATTCACCCAAAAAAAAATTCTGCCGATAAGCGGGGAATTCCCTCAAATAGCCTTTTGAAATAAGAGGATATACAAAATACTAGCGGCACGCTTATTTGTTAAGAAGTTTGTCATTTACGTGGTACCGTAGTACGCGTGCATGTCAGTACATGTAAGACATTTTTCCAGTACTGGGAGGATTACAATCTTAAATCTAGTACTTTATGGTTATACAAAATTCCTTTACTTTGTAGAGTATCCTCTTGAGATCATACATGAATGGAAAATCCTCTGACATTAACACGGAACCGCTAAATGGCAGAATATTTTTTTTTGGTGTTATGCCTTTGATATCTAATAATGTAGCACTAAGATTATTTCATGATCGCAAATTTGCAATGTTAGTTTAAACAAAAGTTTGTCACATCTAAACTTTTATACACACTCTTTACATTAAACTTACAAAAAGAACCAATTTAATAAAACTTGTTCCATCTAATATTTTAATTTGTAAGCATAAAACATATTTCATTTCAAAATGTCTTAAAAACAATGAATGCGCTTCCGATTGAACATAAAAGTCACTGACGCCAAAAATGTAATAATGAATTTCATCGGTACCTATATAAAAAGCAGCGTTCAATAAATCGCTTCCCATTCGCGGCGTACGGAGCGTTACGTCGTGTGGCATCCGGACGTTTCGCTCGTCGAAGGATCATGGGGAGCAACAAAGAGCAAAAGACGGAGTCAATAATATCACGTAAAACACCCACACGAGGTGAGGTGAGGCGGCTCGCGCTGGCTGGCTGGTTGGCTGGCTGGCTGGCTCCCCGAGTGGCGATTGAGGCACGGCCCGGCCGTAAGTCTCGCACGGGCATAAACCAATCCTGAAAGGAGAACGCGATGGAATGGGGTATCCATTTCACGAGCGATGGAGACATCGGGGGTACCTCGTTCGATCCCAGCCTCGTATGCTAATTTTCCGGCTGTACGCCGCGCCACGCTGTCCGCTGCTCTCGGCTAGCGCGCGATGCGGCGCGGCATCTCCGCGCCGCTACGCGAACAGCGGCACGGAAATAGGAGGAGGCCCTCAGGGATATGTCGAAGAACTCGTCGAGATCTGCATTAAATCTCACGCCGGTTTACTTAGAAGTAGAAACCGTCCGCATCGTGCGCGTCGGAATGAGAGATATATGAAATATTTTTAAAGCAATCATTTAAAAAGAAACCTAGTATCCAATTCTTAAGATTGTAATCGATTTGATTGCCTTGTAAGTTAAAGTTAAATTAATTTATGTAAATTAACCGATTTGTTCTTTTCTCATCATAAATCAAGATTTTAATTTTAATATGATTATTTGATGTGTCAATTGGATCTTATCATACTATATTCACGCGTATATTAATCGTTATATAAACGCAGGTTCCTCGTGGAACTGTTTGATACATGTTGACGCACCTTGCAGTGGCAATGGCCCTTACATCGTTTCACCTGCAAATGACGTTAAGCGACCCGCATCTTTGTCTTATCTTACACCTTCATGCAATAATCAACTCTGCTACCCTTCTACACTCCAGGCGGCTGTTGAATTTTTCATCTAACGACCGTTGTTACTGCTTTATTTTCATCATTGGACTTCCACTTTAGCGCCAAACTTGCCGAGAGCGTAACCTGGAGAAACGAGGTTCCCTTCGGTGCAACCTTCGCGAAATTTTCGTTTGGAATACGTAGGCACGTGCGTGCACGCACGGAGACCTCCCGCGGAGTACTTGACGACTGATAAAAATGTCCCTACTTGATTCCGCCTCTCTGCAAGGAGTCTCTACCTTGCCCCACACGCCCGCCTTTATCTCGTCTTATTTGGTACGGACGAATGACGAAGGACGCACGAGATTACTGCGCTGCTGCCCGTCGAGAGACGCATCCCGAGTGCGGTAGGTACCTCGCAAGTCAGTCCGCTGGATGATAAAATGACGGGGGATGAGACCGGACCGCATGTGATGTGCGGACACTATCCTCGTTATGCTCGCGAGCAGCATGCGCCGCATCAGTGAATAATGAGTCCTGCGGAATTTCAGTGCAGGAATCCGTGACTTTTCAACGTAACATCCAGAGTCCACTCGGAATTCTCGGAAATAAGGATATAAGGATAATTCGCGTAGGAAGAAGTTGTCGATTAATTTTTTCTTAGGTTATAAGCGTTAAAAATACAATTGCGGTGGCAAATTATACCAAGGGAAAGGTACCAAAGAAAATTCGAAATAATATAAATTTTTTAATTGCAAATAAAATTATGCGAGATTGTTCTGTATGATTAAATCGTTAAAAAACATGTGTAAAAATGTCTTTAGCTTCGCAACCGTAACTGCGCCGTTTACTTCCTCGAAGGAAGAGCAATTCTCTCAGAGGTATCTTTCTCTGGAGCTCCAATTGAAGCGCTGGAATCTGCGCAGAACTCGCGGACGTACGCATGAATGTTTCTCGGCGTTTCTCTGCTCCATCGTCGTCGTCGTCGTCGTCGTCGTCATTCTTGAAGTAACGCTGAAGATAATTTATGTAATTCATTCGGTTAATATCGGCGCGCCGTGTCGTAAAGCGTTCGCATAACCAATTTGGCACTAAAGACCCCGGCACGAGGGCCCTTTAAGGCCCTTCTCGCGGTGGGCAGTGCCATAACATTACGGGTTACGAGTCGCCCCGTGCCTCTCGTCGTTCACATCCGTCGCAGTCATCTTCGCCATCGCCGTAGGTTCCCCCCCTTTTCTCCGCAATGTTCTGTTGCCCCACTATCCGCTCCCCACGTTGCCCCTTTTTTCTAACCTTCACCTTTTTCTTCGTCCGGGCGTCAGGTGGAGAAGTTGTACGCGGCCGATGATATTAGCATGGTAACTGGTGGCCCCAGCAGGCGCCTTATTAAATTTGTACCATAAGCAATATCAGGATGCGGCCCGGGGCCGTTTCAATTTGCCGGTCTGGAAATTTAAGACTTACCCTGTCTCACTCATTGCTACCGCGTCACCACTATACCGATGATGCACCGCGATTATTTATCTTAATCACGAATTCATCACGAAGGTCGGAGAAGACGTAAATCTTTATCCATTCACAACTGTCATTTTTTTGTAGTCATTCAAAGTCGCACCAACTTCAACGACACTTCACTGTCCTTTGACGATGCTTCACTATCTTGAAGATGCTTGAAGACGAGTGATAGTTTAGAATTCGCTAATTGCAAAGTGGAAGACAGTTAAGAGTGAGCAGGTGGATCTTCTTGCGAGAGCAACGGGCCGCAACACTTATAGGAACATACAACATCTCTCTTCACTATCTTGTGCTGTACTACGTTCAAAGTAGCAACAAGTGTTTCATTGCAATTGATTTTGAATAATATTAAACAATTATCTATTAATGTGAACATAACAACTAGGAAGTGAAAGCCTTAAACGGTCATGCTGGATCTTTAGTGCTTAAACAATTTGATGTGAATTTTATATACAAATAGAATCCTGCGAATCCAATTTAATTTTCAGTCTTAAAACGCAATTTTAACAAAATTAAAGTAATATTATAAAGTAATATTAAATTAAATTGACAAGCACTTTAAATAATATTGATACTCATAGGCATTTTAGAATAATATTAATTTTTTATCAATTACCTCATCATTTTTTTGCCTTACTGTGCGAACCGTGTAAATTGCGAAGTGAACTATCTCGTGACATTAATATTTTGCTGTCTGAACATGGTTGATTCATAAATAAGCCTCTTTATCGTACTCCAATTTTTAAATTAAATTTTGTTCCACGGAAATAATAACGCACTTTACTACGAGGATTGCGTGCGGAATCAGCGAGTACCGTTCCAAGATTTATGAAATTTAAAGACGTTTCTGCATAGCGTAAAATCAGTCGTTTATTTTTATGATTGGATCTTAAATCGAACATGTTACTATGTCGTGTACTTCTATTGACTTCTAAAATTCACGGATATAATGTATTCTCAAAAATAAAAGAAGAATAAAGGAAGTTTTATACGTGACAACTGACATGTATTCATGTAGCTGTACGATCCTGTTATAACCTAAAACGATTATTCATACATTTTGCTTCATTCGTCCGCGCTGAATAAAAGTTAATTCAATGTTTTATCTGCGTCAATAAATAATGGTCGAATACTGTTTACAGCAACAATGCCAGAGTACCTACATCTGTGACGTACTGCGGCGAGAAAGAAAGGATACGAAACGAAATGACATAATAAGATGTCGGTGCCAACGGTACCATACCGCTAATGATTACAAATGACTGGACCGATATACTTGCGCCGACCAAAAGAACGAGTTTCGTGATCGATCGGCTGCAGCAATATCGCTCGATTCGATTTGGAACTTGTTGGTGTCCTCGAGAATTTTTTAGCCAACTTTTCTTTCGTACAACGATATAGGAACTCCCGATAATAATTCAAAGGAAAAAATGTTTATAAATTAAAAGTAAAGATTGGACTGTTAAAAATAATTTATTTTATAAATTTTAATAAAGAGAGAAGTTAGGCATTTAATGACAAAAAGAATAATTTATCGATCCTTTCTAAAACACGTACGATGTTCATCACAATTCAATATGCACAAAAAAACGATAACCAAAATAGTTAATTATAATGTCAAAATGCATGATGAGGAGGATATGCTAATTATCAAGAACAAACAAAGATTTTGTATTCCTAAAAATTTAAATATTTCTCATTGTTGGAATACTATTGGACCGATTGTCGCTCAAGAAATCGGGGCACCCGACTACAGCCCAATTCCGAATTACTTTGACACAAATGCATATAAAATTGGATATATTTTTGTGCCAACGAGCACACAAGTAACGGATTATAATAATAATTTTTGGCATCTTTATACTTTAAATTATCCTTTCATTACTCATAAAACAGAAAAAATGTTTCCGCTCCGTGCCAGTTTTGAAAATACTCGGACCAATCCACGATTTTGTGGTGAAAAGCGAGACGAACACCAAGTGGCTTGATAAGAAATTTCATAGCGTGCGAACGTCTGGAGATCAAATGGACTTTCGGGTGAATATTCATAAAATTATAAATTTATTAAAAGCACAGCATTAATCAAATTGATTAGTTGATCATTTCCCGAATATTTCTAAATGTGTTTGTATAATAGATAATTTTCAAGAATGGAAAAAATCAGCTGAGTTTTACTGGTCGTGATTATTATTTTCTCAGTAAAGCACACGATATGTTGACCCAAAGAAATGTGACGATAGATCGCACATCTCATGAAGGTATATAAAATATATGTATACATATATATTACTCAATCAATACAATTTTTAATAAAATATTTAATAGTAATATATGTAATTATTTAATAATTCATGTATTCACGATCTCTATAGATTTATTAAATATTACATGGATTGGGCTAATAACACACGTGGTTGTTACAAGAATCTCCGAGTTTCGTATTATTAAAGATTTACGTGAAAGAGTGCTATACATAGGCGAAAATGAGCATACTATTCTTTTTAAATACGAAATATGCACACTCGACCAGCACGGGGTCGTAATAAAATCTGTAAGTTTTTACATCAAAATACCTCACATTAAAAAAAAATCTCAGCACCACAGATTTATTTCATTTCGCCAGGAAACGAAGAAAATACGCTGTAAATGGCTGCCAGTAGGAGATAAAGAATCAGAGAGTCTTCCATTAATCGAATTCCAAAGTTTATCCGACAAAACATGATAGTCCCTTTTGCTTAGGAAACAAAAGATATATTTATACTCAAAGTTCTTTCTTGTAATTTTTTGCCATTATATATATCATCCTTCATATATTTATATATTTATATTAGGTTATTTATACGCTTTATATTTTATCGCTTTCTTTTGAAAAGATCAATCTTACTCGCGACAATACATTCGGTCACCTTAAAATACCAGAACCAGTTCATTCCAGACGCAGTATCTTTCTGCTCGGTACAGAACAGACCGTGACACTGATGACACCAATGAGAATGCGGTGAGATACCGCGCAATTTATTTCCATTTTCCGTATGGTGTAAGAGTGCCCGTGAACACAAGTGCGCGCAAGTACACGAGTGCATGCAAGTACGCATACGGACCCATCGCGGTAGATCGGACCTGCGATATCGGCTCCGGGTTCCGCGGTCGGGTCTTGTGCGTATCGCGCATGAGTTATTGCGAGATCGGTCAGAACGCGCGAAATTCAATAAAGTTATTTCACCAGCGCGGTGAAAAAAACGGGGAAGGACAAAAGGGGACAAGAGGGCGATGCACAATCGTGGCTGGATTGAATTATCAGCCTTAAATTCCGCGTTTTATGCATGCGACTGTTCGCCTGCCCTGTCAACGCTGCCGGATGGAGACATTATAAATGTTAATTGCACGAATTGCACAGCTATCGCGCGCGACGTTGTTATTTTTTCCTCTTTCCTTACATGTCTCTCTTTCTCTTTCTCCCTTATATACACCTCTCTCTCTCTCTCTCTCTCGCTCCCCGCAGTTCTTCTCATCTCTTGCAGCGTCGTCCCCGACTTTGCATCTTCTTTCTACCCGCGCCCCCACTATCCCATTTCCTCTCTCTCCATGACGCACCCTTTCCCCCTCGCGCAGAACGCATGAGACTGCATTTGCATCTCAATCTCGCCGTTGATTTAGCAGTCGTCCAGGGCCATCACTCTTGCCGCGGGAAAGGTCGACTTTAGTATTTTTAGATTAGCCGGTCGCGATATATGCAGCTCCTCGCGCAGCACTTTTTCGGGGAGCGTGGAGTGGGATGAGACCTTTCGTCTTCCCTTTTTGGCGCAAGAAAGAGAGTCGCGCACGTACAAGTGTCTTTAAATTGTAGACAGGCCAGGGAGAAACCAGGAAAACGGTCGCGAAGGAGGTCGACTTTTGTCCTTGAAATGAGCGAATGGACGGGGGATGTATCACATGGGTCAGTGACCCCTTTTTCTCAGCACTCATGCGGCACTCGCACTCTCGAAAACGAGTTGTCATCCGTGTCGTAACTCGTGGAAGTCGAATTTGCGTGTTGCTTACACGGTTGGGTCCCGTTAAAAATACAAGTCTCTTTATATGTTATACAACAAGAAGTACAGAAGTGAACATGGATTTCTTTTGTAATAAAAAATTAACTTCTGTAAAATAAAATTGTTATTTTAATTCTTAATTAATTAACAACAATTAAATTGAATCTTAAGCAATAGACATAAGAAAACACAATTATTATTGAATAACGTTTACATAAGTTCGACAAAAGGATCACGACAAAACGTTCAATTTTTAAGTTCCACATTTTATTGAGATTTATGATCTAGCTACGCATAAGGGCGTAAAAACGTCGAAATTCTCGCAGCGTCTCTTTATTTACGAAAGGGCAGCGACACCATGGGTCACACAATAAAACGGCGTTTATTACGGCACAGCTCCCGCATTGCGCCCGTGCTGGAGCATCGGTTGGGTACTATATCATCTTACAAGTTAACTTTTATGACGGCCCACCTGCCGCCATCTTGGAATGCGTAAATAAGCGCTATCTTGATCTTAATGCACTCGCGATCTCACTGCAACCAGATAGCACGGTTGCGACAATCGTGGCTGCACCAGAAAGTACAATGCGGTTACCATACGAAACTGAGAAACTAACCGGGAGTTAAATCGATGCTTCAGCCAATAAAAAATTAGTCTCTAATTTTCTTTAATCTATAAAAATATTTTTACTTAAAATTTCCATGATTTTTTTATATACTTAATAGAACGATTGATTGAAATTTTTCATCTTCAATCACTTTAGAATAAATAACTTATTAGATTAATCTTTGTATAATAATTTCAATGAAATAACGACTACATACTTAATAAAAAAATAATTTTTTTAAATATAAATTTTCGACTAATGTTTTTATTAAATATATAGTTTATATCACTCCATCAAAATTATTACAAAAATTATTCTAAAATTCTAAAATACTTTAAATATATAAAATGACTTTAGGAGCAGTTATGAAAAAGTAAATGAACGGGTACAAAAATAAACGGGCTTAAATGCATAAAAGCGTATTTACGTACAAGTAAAGGATGTCGATTTAGCTCGCATGTTGACAGCCACTTGCTTAACGTACATAGAGGCGGGTGCATCTAGAATGCAGGCTGTGCAGTTGCGCCATCGACACTCGGCACGACTTCCGGCAGGAGGAGCGGAAGTTGTCATCGTTAGAGGCGCGTGCCAGCCACGCGACCAGTCGCGCCTATATTCGTTTTACCTCGAACCGGGGAGCCTCGACAATTGACGTTAACGGGACGATCGTGCTGAAATGATAATTGCACTACCAATCCCAATTCACAATTCACGTGTCCGGTGAAAAGTAACCAGATGCGTACAAAATGAAGTCATCTTGGCTTCACTTATTCATCAAAATTGTTTGGGAAAAGTGAGGTCAGAAGTGTGGAAAAAAATCGTTTTGAAAGTATATTACAAGATATAATTTGCAAGAGTATATTAACTGACGAATGCATAAAAAAATATTTACACGCATAACAATAATATTGTCAATTAATCTGATTCAATATCGCGTTTGTTAACGCTCTGACAGTGCACTCTAAAGACACGTGTGTAATAATAGAGCAACGTACGAGATCGTAACAATAATTTAATACCGTCTTTATCATGAAGATTGATAAGCACGCGAATCTCAGCAGCACGTAGTATAATCGAGCTATAATAATAATGTAGCCAGGAGAATGGCTGTACGTACTACGAAATAATAATAGCCGCGTAGAGTGCGGATAATAAGGAAGCGGATAAATTATTTTCGAATTACACGGTTAGCGCTAATGCGCTGATCGTGCCGGTAGCTTCCTTAGCGATGTTGCGTACTCGTGTGTCTGTCACGTATCCCAAGAGCGTTTATCATAAATTCTAACGAAATCTGACAGATGTAGAAATGCGGATGTACAGCCAAGGTGTTACCTGCTAAAGCGTAATGCGATGCGCGCACGCATAAACAATGCATGTATCTGCTGAGGAGAGTCAATATAATTACGAATGTCAACCGTTATCTTAGAAATCGTGCGGGTAGGTGCGTTGCACGGCGCAGTGCAACGACGTGCGACCTGCGTGCACCTGCGCCGTTGCGCGCGTGCCGATGCACTCGCTCTCTCGCAGTCACCGCACGCACCCGTGCAAACACGCGCGCACGCACACGGAAACGCGTGTCCGCGGTTTCGTTTCCACGGCGGAGCCACGAAACGTACGTTGCGCTCCGAAACAATAGTTGCCATGGTGAAAGGTACCGGCAACACACACACCCGCGCGACACCTGATTTCAACGGAGCCCCAGCGGGCACCGCGCCACGAAAAAGGGAACAAAGGGAGCGCGAGACCTCTTGACCTCGCCCGCGAGAAAAGGGAGCTGTTGCTCCACTTTTCAGAACGTTTCACGACGACTCTTTGTCGAGCTTCGTTCGTGAGGCAACCATTTCGCGTCGCCGCTTGGGAATTTAAGATGAAAGCGACGTCACGGCGACTCAATCTTGCCGAGACGACGAATTGTGCTGGATTCTTTAGCGTTTTGATGTCACGCGATATCTTTACGACGCAACAGTACTTTGCTTCCATTCACTTTGAAAAAAAAAAACATTCTCAGATTTCTCCTTTTTTTTGTCAAAATTAGAAATTTCTTAATTTTTAAATAATCGTCATTAGTTTATAAAATCAATTAAGTATTCATATTATTAATCCAGATAATTTTTCCGAGATGTTAAAACTTTAATAATAATATCGTATATATCGATATGTGTATAAATAATGTTAATAATTATACAATACTTCGCTTCGATTCATTTTGAAAAAATACAAGAAACAGATTCTTAGTTCTCTCCTTTTTTATTGAAAGTAAAAATTTCTTAATTTTTAAGTAATCATCATTAGTTTGAAAAACCGATTAAATAAGTATTCCAAAACGTTAAAACTGCAATAATAACATCATATATGTATTGATATATGTAATGATTAATTCATGAATACATAATGCAATTTAACTCGCTCCATAAAAAGGGGAATCTAAAAAATAACATCCATCTGCAGATCGCGTCGACTGTATGATAATAACGAGCGGATGTGATAATGCGCACTGTACACGAATTAATTTTATTGTTTGACTTCGAGCGATGACTTTTGTATGCTTATCCCACGAGGGCTCCTCTGTTTGAGGACCTTCCTGCTACCTGCCAACAACGGCAGTTCAACGTGTCTCATTACGTTTTCTTTTTTATAACGGCGATACGGGTAGCGTATTACCTACACATTTACCTTTCGCCGTTGAATAAGGCCGATATTAACCACATTTCCGCTCGGAGCAAGTAGCAAAAAATAAAATGTAAAAAAGACGAGAGAAAAAAGAAGCAAGATCAATTCTTGATACGCAAATCCGCGCCGTTCCGTTATGCTCAGCATCTTCAGAACACCTCCGTAAACCCCACCCCGACTGATGACGGCCGTCGATACATTCGAAATATCGGTACCGTGACGCGCGCAACCGCCATAATCCTTCTACATTTAACATCCAAACGCGTGGGTATCAACATGCAACCCGGTGACGATTTACATTTGCGATTTTCACCCTCCGGCAAAAATGCCAGCCGACAATACCGTCATGATATCGCCAGGATCTGGCTGTATGAAAAACGTCTTGCGCTTATGCAGCCTCCTACAGTCCACCG